TCGTGTTGTCGCGTATTGTCGTAAATTGTCGGATCGCGTAAAAACGCCTATTGTAGTCGCGTTGTCGTGCATCGTTGTGTTGCGTAAAAACGCTTGCTGTAAGTGTGTTATCGAATCAGGTACTGTTGCGTTGGAACGCTTACTGCTGCGTCGTCAAGCAGAGTGGACTCCCGGTTGTTGCGTCTCGGATAGAGTCAGTTTCCAGAATTCGCGCGGTCGAGCAGAGTCGCGCCGCATAGAGACGCTTGTTGTAATCGCTCTGCGATCTCGCCATGCTGGCGTCGCGTGTCGGGAGGCTGGTGGTACAGCGGGTACGGGTTCTTACCGGTTGAGAAGGGCGTTTGATACCGTCGAAAGTTACCGCGGGGAACCGAGGGGCTCGTGCTGTAGCGTATGACCGGCGTCCGGCGTTAGAGATAAGATGGCGACTCTGCACGAGTACCGAGAGTATAGAGTATCGCAAAGGAGCGAAGCTCTGGAGATCACTTGTAATTACGTCGCCGATGTCATTAGTCTTACTTTATCATCTTTTTCCAAATATACTTGTTTTATTATTACATCCTCGCGTATGTTATTCTTGTAGCCTATTTCTCTCGCCGTCCGACAAATTGCCCACACGTCTTGCGACCCACCCCTGCCGTCGCGAATTGGGTACGGGCAAAAGTAAGGAGATTCGGAAAGAGTGGCTCTCTCGTGCCTGGCGCCCAACTTAGTAATAAGAATTACAATCTTGGCCGAAAAACCGTCTGGCTGTCGCAAAGTTCAGTTACCGAGAGAAAGGAGATACTTTTGCGTAAGAGGAGTATGAAGAACACGCGACGAAGTTGTGCCGTTGCTCGCGAGTACGGTTACAGCAAATACCCACGTATATCGGTTTGTCGACCTTCACCTCGTGCTTACGCAGTTCTATCGCGACCAGATTCTCCGAGAAGACGTTACGACTGTGAAAATTTGGTTTGGCGATCATTGCCTCAGCACCGTATCTACCTTCCCATTTTGTCAATAATTTTACGTCGACGCGATGGCGCACATTCTCCATGGTTTTACCAAATACCGCGTTATTCATAAGTTTGTATAAATTTTTTTCAAAATCATTTTTGGCCATTGTTCTAAATTTTGTGTTGAGCTCAATGTAATCCCGTAGCCATGGAGATTGCGCGAATTGCAGTATACGGTGAATCTTTGCGATACGGAGACCGTGACGAGTACACTGCTGCAGGTTGCGATAATGTATGACATAACGATGTTTATCGCATAATGTTGCAAGGAGCTTGTCATCGCGCTTGCCGGGTGGTTTCTCGCGCGTCGGACAGAACGGTAGGTCAGTGTGCGCGTCATGAAGATGTTGCGAGTACTCCAAATCCACCTCGAGAATATAGCCTGTCGGTGAACCTAACGCGATGGTCGTAAAATCAAAATTGTGCACGTCGTCGATCCATCGAAAATCGGCGTAGGGCAATGGTTGACACATTGCCCACCCGTAGAGGTTGTTGACGTCATAGTACATTAGGTATAATGATGGTTTCGATGGATCGTACGACGGGATGTATTTGTTGTTGGCTCGTGCGTACCAGTTTGAGCACTGGCTCAGACCACCGCGTATACCGCGCTCGACAAACATGACCATGTCGATATTTGTTAGCAGTTCAAATTTTACACCAGTATGTTTTAACATGGCATCCCATGTGAAGCTAGGTAAGGTGTAATAATACGCGGTGTCTAGCCCGTAACTCGCAATGCAACTGTCGCGGAAATTTTCAAAGACGTCGTCCAACAACAATACATCTGTTTTTAGATACAGGTCACTATATTCGCCGAGCGTTTGGATGGAGAACCGCTGCCACACGTCGGGGGCGTGCGCGTAATCACTCTCAGATACCTTGCTGTCCGTCAATGAGTTGTAGAATGACTCACGAGATGGCTAGCGTAATTCGTTCAATTTTTCACTGCAGTCAATGTACTCGTATGGAAAGACATCCTTTCGAGTCAAAAGATTAAAATTTTCTTCGGATAAATTGGAAAATTCGTGTCGCAATACCCGCAGCTTATCCTTGCTAAGAAAAGATGACAATTTGTCCAAACTAGAAGCGAGAAATCTATATGAATCTATGAAACGTGATTGCACACAATTTTTTTGATCAATTTTTGTACTATCGACATGTTTAGTAAAAGATATATATTTTTCTTTAGTTATTGGAAGGAGATCTACGCGTTCTTCATACGCGGTTGCAATTTCCTTGATAATAAAATGAGCGTCGTAACCGGATAAATTATGAAAGATTATAGGTATGCAACGCGAATCTCTGTAATTTAGATTGCAATTTGAATGCGCGAGGCCTCTGTATCGCCCGGTTAAGTGGCAGTGATCGCGTACCCGCGTATCGTCTGGTGTAAACGGTTTCTCGCACACGTGACAGTGCGAGGCGCTGTTAAATTTTTCTCAATCGTCGCGCGTGAAATCTGCCATGGGAACATTGGCTGGAATTATAGACTGTACACTATGCGCCAAATTTTTTAATTCTTCCGCGAACCATGCTAGACAGTCTTTGTCGCGGCGGAAACGATAGCCCGACAGTGAGCTATCGTTAAAACATTGCACGTAATACCCTACGCTGAAGACGTTGTGATGTTGGTACGTGTGCGTAGCGGATTGCTAATCGCTATCCGTTTTCTCCAACGCACACTCAAAACCTGCGTAGACTATGATCAGGACGCACTCTTTTCGGCTATGGTTGCGGAAGCTCAACCACTTGTCATCCTCGCTCGGCAGCCTTATCGCACAATCGTTAATTTTTTCATAATCCTTGCTGTGGGTCTCCAAT